TACACCATTTGACCGTACAAAGTGCGTCTTAGCGCTACACACTATACCAAGGTTACCACAGGATTTGGCTTCAGGTAACTCAGTGTTGTGTATAGTAGTGTACTCCAGTGAAACATTTCAGCAGTTACCCTTTTCAGGTGCAGTGATGGGTGCTATTGATGGAGCTCTCATTGGAGCTGTCGATGGTGCAATAATTGGCTCTCATTTGTGATGACACGTGGCGTCTAACTGCATTTGATACTCACTCGAATAAAACTGAATAGAGAAGCAAGAGAGACTTTGTAATGGAAGTAGATATTTCTTATATGACAATGCTACTAACGTTACCTATCTCGAGAGGTTCTTACGTCCCTTTGCAGCAATATCTGCCGACTTTTGCGGCACACCATCGTTAGCAACAGAGAGTTAGATTCTCCTTTTCGTTTTCAGCCGTACTTTGTAAGGAGCGGTACTTGGCCAACAGACTTTTGAACTTCCCCATTTCAGACGACACGCCTGAGCGTGACCTTTTGCTACTGAGCGTCAAAGCGGGATCATATTCCTGAAAATATACTCCAAGAGAACGAACTCTGGCTGAAGTAATTTACACGTTGCCTAGAAGATAGGCGTGAATGCCGAGGGGCTCTACTCCGAAGTTATACACAATAACGCTGAGCTGCGGGCAATCTCAAACCTAAGCTGGACTCGAACTCGCACCTCACATATTCCGGGCTGCCTCAATGGCGTAAGGGATAAGACACCCTCTCGGAGAAGAAGACGTGTGGATTAACTCCCCCTCTAGGGTTGAGAATTTCTGCCAATAACGCAGCAACTTCAAGAAACTATATTCATATGGAAGAACACTCCTCCCTTGGGTGACCGGTTGAGTCTCTCAAACGCTTGCGGCCAGAAGTCACTCCGCTCACTTTGCCTGAGTCCTGCCCATTTTTGCAAAATGCTGCAAATAGGAGGCACATTCTCAACTAACAAACAATCACCCGTCGTTTAGAACATCCCTTGCCTTCCCAACTCTTAACGCTTACCCGCCATAGATACCCTTACATGGAGGAACTTTATTGGGTTTGTTCGGAGGCACAGTTTTGGAAGTATCACGCTAAATATTAAGAACGGCCGCTCCTTTTGCAAAAACTGCTGTAAGTTGTACTTTCGTCACACAAAACTGCAATCAGGCTGCAGGCTGAGACGTCGAATGACGACGGATGGTAGATGAATCTCTCACTTAAGGTCGTCTGACACGACTTGACTGAAACGGTATTTCGTAAGCTTTTCCTCAATTGGAGTCTACGCCAATTCTTCCGAATGATTATTTGATAACCCGATAAAGAGTACTTGGATAAGAACACGAGACGGGATAGGAACGTAAATATGTGCGGTACAGTCACTAGAACTCCATGCAGCACAGCGGACAAGAAGCCAACATTAGTATTACCGCCACTGTACCGTAACCCAAAACGGCGCTCAATATTGTAATCCCGCGGCGGAACTAACACCGTGCTTTACGTCAGCATCACTGAGAGAATGGTGCTGAAATACTTGTATACAATGCACTAATCAAGGGTGGACGGGAACTTCGTGCACATTCCATTTATGCTTTCTCTCGTCTCGACGTAGGGTGACAACGAGTCCAAAGCGAACTGTGTGTGCACTGTCAGCTCCAAACTGGCTGCCAAATGCTATCGAAAATGTCATTTCAGTTAATCAAGTCATATTTTGTTCGTCTAAGGGTTGCTATAGCGGCGTTTTCGCTTTTTCATCCATTAGACGTGCAGTGAAGTTTCATGCAGCAATTTGGGAAAGAACATGTGGAAGAAATTTCTGTCTGCAGAAAGTTAAGGCAGTATTTAATTTACTATTCCCATTTCCCTAAGACAGGCCTGTTTCTGACCTTGAAAACTCGGCTCTAGGGGTAGTTCGACCCCTTGAACACGAAACTATTAGGTTGGCCGATAAGTAATGGCCGTTTTTTTCAATTCGAAAAATTTGTTCCAAAAGTGAACTGTTTTGCAAGCAAGCTTAATATCATTTAACCAGTCGGATCGCCCGGCTGACGCCGAGCTCTCCTCCTTCTCTCTAGCTCGGCTTCGCCGAGCTGGCTTCGCCAGGCGCGCTCCATAATGGGGAACGGAACTCTTTCAATCACTGCGTTGCTCATACAGCTCTGTATTGGTACAATCATAACAGATAGAGCAACCCTGCGGATCCTGCGTTCCATAGTAACGCTTATACTTGCGATCCGCGCCATAACGGCCATACAACACAGACAGGGTACAGCATCCTTGTGTGAAACACATGTGAAACACATGAGGTACTTTTGCTCTAAGCAGGGGGTCGTATTTGGGGTGGGGTAAGACAAATTTATTTTGATAGTTGATTTTTTCTCCTAGAAAAGTGAGGGTTGTATTGATTTTTTTGTTTTATATGCACTATACGCATTCTGTACGCCCGTGGG